GGGGTGGGGAGGGGGTAGGTGTGGGGATGCTGTGAGAGGTCCACTAATTTACTCTGTACTTCTGGGGTGCTGGGCAAAACAATTTTAGGTTTGTAAAAGGTGTTGTTTTAAAACTCCCAATACATAAATATTTATGAACCACCCCTGAATGTTACATAGGTTATAATACTGTCATACCTGTCCAAGTCGCTGCCCATTCAAGAAAGAACCATTTTTACTTCCCAAGTCAGTAATGAAGTACTGTCTCCTCTCTTGATCATATGATATCCTACAGTGATACTAGGGAAGGGGGAAAACGTTCTCAGCTTTTGAAAGAGCATATGGATAATTTTATTTATGCTGTAAAATTTTTAATTTTGAGGAATTTGCATTTTGGAAAATCAAGAATCATGAAGATTAGACTGGACTGGACATCGGATCTCGAATTGCAAAAAACAAATTCTCAGCTTTTAAAAGGGTATAGATAATCTAAATCTAAAGCAAAAACATGCCTAACCTCTTACATTTGATTTATACTTTTAAATTTTGAATTTTGAGGGATTTTGTATTTTGGAAAATCAGGAACTGTTCATGGATGGACTGGACTGGACTTCAGTTAAGTGGAACTTCAGATCGCAAAACGTTATTTACGCTGTGATTCGTAGTTTTTATCCTACAATTTATTGTTATTTTTTTAATTTTCATAAATAGTAATTTTGTGCTCAAATTTTGCAAATAAGTAAAGATTTAATTTTTTTTCCATAATTGGAAAAATAACATTTTAGATCATTGGATTGTACATAGACATTGGTTACCGTAGCTTGAACTTAATTTTTTTAATGAATAATCATAATCTTGAATGAAATTGCCTCTGAAATCACAGAATTTTCATTTGATGAAGACAATCTGGATAGAGTACAGTAGTTTAGAGTTTTGTATATCTAAGGGTATACCTTACTAATGGATACATCAGGTATTCTTATTCCATGTCCAACATCCTTTTCTCTACAAACATCAAACAGCAGTCAGAATACATGAATATTGCATAACAATAGACTGGACAGTGTGACACAGGTAGCCTTTGAAGCCTGGTTCTAATCTAATAGCGACCCAAGCATGGGAAAAGCGCAAGCCAATGAAAGAAAAACAAAATCTTCAGTTATCTTGTGCTTGTATTTGCACATGTGTYACTTCATTTCATAGTGAATAACAAAAACAACCTACGTAGCAATCAGATGATGTAATATATTCAGAGAATCTATTGTATTCTATCTATTGTATTAGGTATGATTCATTGTATTTTTATGAATACATTACATTAACAGCTTGCTATGTAGGTTGTGTCTGCTTGCATTGCTAGTGACAACCAGGCTTAAAAGTCTAGAGGGGTTTCATAGCAGTTGTGCGAGGCAAAACAATTAAAATTTTCTCCTTTAGGAAACTAATTTTTTTTTGCAAAAAAATAAATTATTGTTTTGTCCAATTTTGGCCATAAAATGCCTTTAAAATGAATGAATCCAAGTTAATGACTGTACAAATGGATAAATCTTATTCAAACATACAAGGATAAGAATAATGGCCAGATAATTGAACATCTGGTTACATGTTGAATCTACCTAATGTGGCTGTTCATCATGTCTCACCATTGAGCAGCTGTTATTTTAAGCCCTAAAAAATAACAACAACTTCAAAACTCAAATAAACTACTGAATGTAAATACTGTACCTTCCAAGGGTTCCGCCAGTACATGTAATAATAAATAAAGTCCCAATTTTCAACTTGTCCGATTCTGTTACAATAGCTCTTATACATGGTGCAACCTTGTGTACTTGCTCTTCATTTGCATCATCATCATCATCATCATCATCTCCTTCTTCTAAGTCCCTGTCATCATCATCATCTTCATCAGTACTAATAATTTCTCCAGAACTGCATTCCTCATCAGAGCTTGATTTAACTTTAATGATTCTTCGTTTCATTGGTTTCTTTTTCTTTTTCCTTTTTGGAGGCTTATCATATTGGTCATTGTTTTGTTCAATCTTATTTTCTTCAGGATGTAATTCAACTTGTGAGTGGAATTTATAACTTTTACTTGCTTCATCATAGAAGTAATATGTTCCAGTCTGGTTGTTGTAATACAGACAGCTATTCTGTCAGGTCAGAAAATAAAGTTTAGTTTAGCAGTAAACAAAAAACCAATTTCAGAAGCACAGGTGGTGTGGGCTGCTTATGAGTTGCCTTTCATCAATGCAACCCAGGTTCAAGTCCTGCCGGGCTTGGTGTCATATGTGAGTTGAGTTGTTTTTTAGTTCTCTTCTGTGCTTTGAAGGTTTTTCCTCAAAGTTCTCTGGTTTTTCCTCCCTCCACAACAAAAATCAACTTCTAAATTCTAATTTGATCTATCAGCTTCCTTATCAATTAGATTGTAAAACCTGTTAGGCATTAAGTAACGATGCCGTTTAGAACGATAGCACCCAACGGCAAGGCATGTGCAGTGAAGATTTCTATAATTGGCTTAAGTAATTATATCCAAGCTCTCTGATTGGCCGAAAAAAATAGTCATTGTATTTTTTACGGAAAAACGCCGAAATAGTACTGAATTGTCATTCCATTTACCAAAGACACATTGGAACTATTGTCCGAATTTTTTTAGACCAATCATATGTGGGGAACACTCGGAAATGGTTCCCCACATACAATTTGTTCCAAACTCGCCTATGTTATCAATCGTTGTTCAACAAGTCTGCTCGCCAATTTACGGCAACTATACCGGACTCGTATGAGAACAAGAACGAAAACAAGTTTGAATTTGGCGCTTTTCGAATTTAAGTCAATAAGATTGAAAAATATAATTTAATTAACACCGCTGTAATCCAAATCGTAAACAGCTGCCCATGCCGCAGGCCTATTGTTCTCGCTATCATTCTAAACGGCATCGTTACTTAAGCCGTCCACCAATAGTGGTAAACGCATTAAATTAAATTTTGCAGAACGCTGATGGAGGTGGTGACAGGTTAGAGTAGTATGGATGTACTTACAGGATCATAATATAACCCACAATTCCAGTCATAGTACAGACCAGTCCTGTCGTCATACACAAATCCACTTTTACTCATGGCTTGAGTTGCAGCCTCTTCAAGAACGGCTTTTATGTCCTGTAAAATTCACAATAAAAGATTCATAGGTGAATGTGTTTATATGCCATCTGGTAAACTTGGATAGAGGTTTTGGTTTAAAGGTAGTTTTCATCCAAGTACCCAGGAAACACAAACACAGCTTATGTCATGATGGGGGGGGGGGGGTACTCCACCAGGATTTGGGTAGGGGTGTTCCGCTGGGATTCTGAAAGGGGTATCCTGTTTATGACAAAAAAACCCCACAAATTTGTAGACCCTATAATTAATTGCACTGAGTTCCTGTTTCAATTATCATGTCAGCTCACGTATTGTTTTTTTTTTTGATGACCATAATAACGAGTTTTGGTCAATACGAAAGTAGAAACCCTGAATATGACAGGAAACTCAGGAAGAACTTGGAACTTGAATGAAATTGCATACCCTGTTTATGACAAGAAGCTTGAAAAACCATACCTTGTTCAGCGGATCATCCCCGTATAGTCCATATTATATGGGAGTACCCCACCCCGCAGGTGGCATGTAGCATGTCTATCTATACATCAAAATTTGGTCTGTTATTGTTCTTGCGCAGGTCATGTAGACACAAGGAACTCTTGACTAAATGTACCAACCTTTGAATCATTTTCACAAGGATTAAGATAACTGTTTGAAGAGTTTGAAAGTTCTTGTGCAGACTCAGTTGAAATACTCTCTCTTTGGCCTACATAAGAACCTAAAAAAGAAGAAAATACCATGAAAAAATCTTGTGGACGAGACCTGGTAATGCCCATCTAACAAGCGGTATTACTGAGGCCTTGTTAGGGGTAAATTTGACCGGCCTTGAAATGCAAAACGAGAGACACAAAGTATTGACAAACAACAGACTACTCTAATGGATTACTGACAGCAAGGCCCCATCAGGGCTAGATCCTGACAAGCAACACAAGAATGTTCCAAAATTGCGACAAACATAGTTGTGAAATTCAGATGGAGGGTATAAGTACCACTCTATTTGTGCCTCATTTCCTCTCCCCTTCCCTTACTAACTTTCAACTGAGGTAAAAGATAATATACTTACAAGCCTTAGAGAGTTCTTCCTTCTCTTGTTTCCACTTTTTTCTCTCATCATAAAGTTCTTTCCTAAGCGCATCCAAATCTCTCTTCGAGTTGATAACATGTCCCTCTGCATTTTCTTTCTCATATTCCAACTTCTTCAACTTTTTATGGCAACTTTTCACTTCTTCCTTTAGATTTTCCAGTTCAGCTTTTAACCCTGAAACCTGCTTTTTAAGAGCTTGGTTTTCTTTTTGAACTTGGTCAACTCCCAGCGAGTCTGTAGCCATTTTAAGCTCTGGAAACAGCAAACACAGAAAAGATTTGGCATAAGGAGGATTCTGACTATGAAGGCCAAGAACGGCGTTTTTGAAGTTTTTAAGAGCATTTTACAAAAGAAAACAAAGCTATTTACAAAAATATAATGTCCTTCGATCTAAATGAGTCTTTGAAATCTTTTTTGCGCCATTTTTGTCAAAGAAAAAAGGTTATAAAACGAGAAAACGAAAAGACACCAAATCGTCCGCCATTTTGGTTTTATGTGAGGTCTGCGATACCACAAACCAGCGGTGTTTCTAATCATCTAAGACCTCATGCGAAATTGCGACGTAGAGAGTCAATCTTTAAAATAATAATAATAAATTTTAAAATACTCATAGATAATATTTACTATGGAAATAATAAAATAATCGTTCGTGTCATTTCTTCTTCTTATTATTACCCATGTCTTCACCAGGAACGCCTGGCGGAAACGGCAGACGTGACAGGTGCAAAGCCCCATCTCCATGTAAACTAGAATAAAAACAAACTATACTTCATGGAATATTATCTTTTTATTCTTTCATTCCCGTTGCGCGTGGGCATTTTAAACGATAAGCTAACGTAAACATAATTTTTACTAATATTTTCTATTTTTTTAAATGTGTTTATAACTAATCAGTCTGAATTTACGAGCAAATCCAGTCATGTTTGTGATCGTGCGTTATGCAGGTAAGTGAGAAGAAAGCCCTACGTTTTTTTAATTAAGTGTTGTTTTAAATACAACTAATTCTTTTAAAAAGAAATACTCCTAAAAGATGAATGGATTCATAACGGCATGCGCTTCTTAAGCGCTGTGTTTTTACACTTTGTCTAAGTCACTAAAATATTTTTTAAGAGTAACTTTTAGATGATCTATAGATCCTGTAAATCAAGCGAAAATCCTCAAATATACGTGGCATTGAACTCATAATTTCTCTTATGGGAATCATCTTAATTTCCTGTTTTAGAGAAGATGTTCGGTTAAATTCTTTTCTTAGAAGAAGTAAAATATTAAGCGATGAATTGAATATATTTAAAAGCTACTTTTCTATGAATTCGGTTGACGGTTTTATTCGTGCTCTTCCTAGAGGCACCGGATTCTGAAGATCAAAGGAATATCACAGATAAGAAACTTTGAAATTTAACAATTTTTCGCTGTTATTCTAAAGAATAAAACAAAAATTGCAACCTTTGATTAATAGATTATACTTTATTCCCGCAAAGTAAAGTAACTTTTTTTGAAATCTGCGCGTGGCCTTTGTTTCTTTTTGATATTACAGTCAGTATTTAAGCAAAGATTCCCACCGTCTTCAGAGATAGAGTTCAAAATTTCGTTTTTATGTTCAAATGAAGTTTCGGTTGTGAAACATCGCGATTACGACAAGCATTGGACTTTTGGACTTTTTAGGCGCGTATTTCATTGAATCGATTTTTTTAACCCTCAGTATTTTTATTTCAAAAATTCTTCTTATTTTGGGAGATCTTTGTTAGGCCCGTTTTTACAATATAAAACCATGCAACAAATTAATTTACCGAAGTAACCTGTTCAACAGCTGAAAGGACAAAGCTTTTTACTGATTCTGACACCAACATTTCACTATCACTAGATTTGACTACTATGACGAACATTTCAGAATTAAAAGAAAATTTGGGGTTGTAATTAATTTCTTCATTTATTAATTAAAGTCATTTGCCTTCGTGAATTTTGAATTTATGATTTTCAGATGACAGACGAGAGCTGTTTAATCCGGATTGTAGAAGCTGCTTGTTGCTAAACAACATAAAGGAACGTTGTGACTGTGACGAAGATGGTAAATATCCGACAACTTATGTTTCCATAGTAATAAACCAATATTTCACATAAGAACCTCTAAAATATATTTTTTTAAATTTTGTCAAAGAAGCATAAAAGTAGAGAAGTGAAAGRTGAAATATCCAGCCAGACCATGTTTTGACTTCCGAAAACTTCCTAGAAATATATTTTGTAGATTTTGTTTATTCAAGTTGCTATCTTTTTTTGTTTGTTTTCCATATTTTTTTAGCATTATTTCTGTTTTCCAGTGTCGTTTATTCGAATCTTAATGCTTACATGTGACGTCTTGAGTGAATGTATTGTAATTTTTTGGTTATCTTTCTTCTTTTGCTGTGCTAATCATCTCATAATAGTAATCGCTGAATTTATTTTTTTTGCTTCAAAGATATCGTGGATCTATCAGATGAAACAGGCTGTCTCAAGAACCTGATAAAACATCCTTTAGAATATGCAACTAAATTCCTGACAAGTCGAGAAATTCTTGTTCTTGTCAAAGGAGAAAGTAAGTCATTCCTGTTATATTCTGCTTGAAATTAGAAACGTTTGAGAAAATTTGAGCCTATTACTACGAAACTAGTGACACATAATGCGTATGACCGAAAAAATAGCGGGAAACTATTGCAGTTGGTCGCTACTAGGTCTGGCACACTGACTCGTTTATCACCGCGGCCGATGAAACTCCCAAGACCAAGGAGCTCTGGGTACGAGACTAAGAGAGAGGCAGATGATTTTGCGCACGAATAAACCTAACAGAGAACTTCTGATTTATTCATACGTCTCCCGCCATTTATTTCATTCATAGAGACTGATGACAATCAAATGACGTTTGTACCTTTACTAGAAAGCCTAGAAGATAATAAAGAATTTTTAGGTGAATTCAAGTAACCATTTACTATACTAAGAGGTCCGCATATGTAAAAAGAAATTTCATGTAAGAATTACATGCAAGATATCCGCCTAATCTAGTACAGTACCTCTCTGTCCCTTATGCTCTCGAGTGGAGTTTGATCAGTAGACAAGCCGGGTCTTCTTCTTTAATCAAGCCGGTTTTATTCGATCCTTAGAAACTAACCATGCTGTGTACCCAAGTGATTTACGCAGTCTCATGCATTTCCAGTTAGTCTCGCATTCAATTTTGTTAGGAACCGGGGAAACAGAATAAAACAAAACGCAGAAAACCCTTTTGTACTATAGTTTTGGGCCATCGAAAATCTTGTTATACCAATACATCTTCCCCGTTACCGCCCCCATGAATAATAATGAACAGAATAATACACAATATAAGAGACAATTGTTCAAAAATGGTTCTTTTTTATTTAAGAGAGACTCAACCCACCACCGCCGAAACAAAAGGAAGAAAAACACTCTTCTCCACGGAATTCCGCAAGAGGAATGCATCCCGGCTTGGGTTCAAAAAGAACGTCGTTGGTCCCAAGACCGAGCAAAAACCTCGGCATCCCGCAACAATCCCGTAATTTGCTCAGTCCAAACATGGGCCGAAGATCAAGTCGAGCCCGAAGTCAAAGTGTTCAGTTATCACATACTCCTCTTAACTTGCTAAAGAAGCCTCGATAGCTACAAACACATCGACGACAATTAAGATCACGTGATCGTCATATGAAATATAGAGCGCTTTCACCGATGACGTCACGGCCGCCATATTGGCGTACCTTTAACAACTGAAATTGAACTCAAATGTAAATTTAAATGTTGAAAGTATTAATTATTCGTACCGTACCTTTTACCTGCCGGGCCATTACGACCTCGTGCAATGTCAAACATCAGAGTCACACTCTCTATTGCCGTTTCAAGTCGAGGCATTTAGGTCAATACAATGAAAATGTATAGAACCTGACCCAAATGCAACAATTTTTTGAAGACAATAGAATGCAACTGTAATATCTTCTATTTGATCAATGTTCGGGTAAGGTCTATTTGTAGAAATACGTTGCATTATGGGGCTGGTTTGAGGGACTCTTCATCACTCAGTTGACATTTTATGCATCAGGAAACAAAATAAATTTGAAAATTAACACGACAATATTAAGGTTTTTCCTATCACTTTTCACTATCACCAAGCGAAAAAGACGCAGTTCAATAGACCATTTTAGCTTGAGCCAAGTTCATTTTCTCTTGCTTGAGCGAAATGTTTTTTGTGTCATTCTTTAAAGTATACTTTTTTTCGTTTAACGCGAGTTGTGCATGGGAAGGCACATAAATATGGATACAATTCAAACCAAGAATGTTATTAAAGGGAATGACACATCGTCGATCTGAAATGGGAAATCATTACACTCACGGCTAAGAGTCTATCTGGGAAGGAAATAAAAATCCAATCTCGTCCCCAGAGCCTGCGTTTATCTTGGTCAGCACCCAGGCGCTGACCATATAAAATGCAGGCTCTGGGTATAAGATTGAGCAATCTCGTCCCCAGAGCCTGCGTTTCTTCTGGCCTGCGACGTAGAACGAGGGCTCTGGCATAATCCATTTTTTGGCGCATGCGCAATTTTCCGGAAGTAAAATATGATCAATGACAATCATGATTCAAAATAGATTTCTATGTTTACTTCCAATCAAAAGTCTTTAAACGCATGCCCTCTTATACTGAAAGTCCAAGAAATTCTGGTCTCAAAAAATGGAGTATGCCAGAGCCCTCGTTCTTTGCCGCAGGCCAGAAGATACACAAGTTTTGGATACCGAGATTGAAGATTGAGAGGAATCCTGCTATGAGCGCATGCGCGTTATGGTGGTTCCCTAGACATGGTCAGAAAAAAAAGCACCCAAAAATCAACTATTTACAGAGATTTCGACGACCAGTAGTAACATTAATGGCGCACACACTCAACCTAACGTTTCAAGAAAATAGAAGAATAATTTTGAAAAGAAATCTAACGATCATATATACTGGAATTATGATCTTGATGGGATGCGATCAATACCCTAAGAAGCGATCATCAGCAGCTGATAAGACGCGAGATTCTCTTAGAATAAGCTTAAATGGCGTCTTTCGCTGGTGTAGACTGAGACGGTTTCTTGTCTTTTCCAGCCAAATGGAGAAGAATGCGAGCTGCGTTTCTGACAATATTTTCGCCATATACGATGGTTTTGTTTGGGCAAAGTTGTTGGGCCCTAAAAAAAGAAAAAAGGGCGCCTTAGTTTAGAAGGATGTACGTACTTGCAGTTAACATCTTTGTCAAAGACTATAGAGATATATTGGAGGTTGGTAATATAATGGACTCATATCAGGGGCGGGTCCACGGATACCCCCTTATGTCGTAATTACTTCTTAATTGCTTTTTTGAAGCGTGACTCGCGTGAAAGCCCTGTTAAAAGAAATGTTTACGATGCATAATATTTCTATATACATTTCTTTATTTTGGACAACCTCTCCCCCCCCCCCCCTGACAAATTCCGGATCTCCCCCTCCGTATATCCAACAAAGATATTTTAAATATTTACCAAGAACAAGGAAGCAAATCGGGAATCCAGCTCTGAACGTATACCTTTGTAGATGGTTCGATCCTTCCGCTGGCTTAAAAAAAAACACTTATGAGATGAGAAATGGAAGTGCCGATCATGAGTTGGATAACTTTTTCAGGTCCTTTAAAGTACAGGGGCCCAGCTATCGGACGGATAAATCTTATTCATTGGATAAATTTATTGCATGACAGCATCCACTGGATAAGGATTCTACCGCCGGATAGCGCTATTCATCCTTCGTACAACCGGGTCCTGGAATGGCCCAATGTGGACATAGGTTTTCACCTTGTAATGGCGTATTCAAGTTATAGCTGTTGTCGTGGAAATATCTTGGAGATATCGATGGTGGGCTTGAGTATAAACCTTCTCGAAACCACGACAGAATCACACTGGGTCTTCCACTATTCATTCCGTGTGGTAGTTTTAAGGGTGGGATAATGTTTACACGGGGCTCTGCAAGCTCATGGAAAAACGGACCAACAGGTGCTTCAAAGTTGCCTCTACTCGACATTACATTACGTAGCACTTGATCTTCCAAACAACGTGGTTGGCTTGTGGTATTAGAAAAGTCAGGATGATGAATTTTTTGGAGATCTTTTGGAGTACTGTGACTGTCTAAAGCATCGATATAACTGCTGTCGATGTTTCTTTCTACTTGTTTTAAACCAGGATCCTTCAGCTTTCTTCTCGCATTTGCAAACCACGTTTTTATCTGAGGTAGAAATATACTAAGGTGAGTTTGAACAGAAATTTTCAGAAATTCTTTAAAAGCATAAGTTATAAGCTTATTAGGATTATGTAATAGTACCTGTTTGTCYGAGAGCCCACATCTCTTGCACAAATCTTCCACGATTGCCCTACTTGGGTATGGATAGTGAGAATTGTCTTCAAACCAACTGTTTAGGATTTGTACAGCTTTTTTCGAATGTGAAATCTTTCTTCTCTTTCCCAAAGGACAAATGCTTTCTGGTGGTAAATTCCTAAGAATAACAGAAAACAAAGTTATCTTTAATTGGACTTCAAAAATTGATTGTTTAAACAAACCGGATGTTAGCATTTGGTCGTCAAACTGTTATAATTCTGACAGACTCAAGTTGAGAGCAATGACTGTTAATCTCTTCTAACCAATGTTTTGTTGTTCTAACTTCAACTGAAAAGTTCGTTCAAAAGCAACTTTGCTTACTTCTGTCTTATTCGGAATTTCTCCAACGATGTCAGAGTCCTATTTTTTTCCTTTTCTGCGATGCAGTAATGTGCTTGATCCCAAAGGTCAATTAACTCTTGTCCTTCATTAACGTTATTCCCCTGGCAACAAAGACAAATTACTGGTTTATCACTTTTACTTATGAGGGTTTACTGGCTGGAAATATAAATGAAATGAATACATGAATGAAATGCAGTGAAAGTACAAATAAAATGTAAAAATGATAATGAAAAATATGAATATATATTATACATATGCAAATGCTTTATACATGAATGTAATGAATACATGAAATCTTAGTTGTTTAACAAATCGAACTCAATTTTCTATGGGTCTGTGCTGTAATCGAACATGAAATGACGTCAAAAAAATCCAAACTCAAGTGGAACCACGAGCACAGCGATACCATAACAAAGTCGAAAAAACTGAACAAAAAGAGAAATAGTTTGAAAAAGCAAACAAAAAAACAATTAAATAGTTTGAAAAAGCCGTTTCATTCGCTCGCTCAGTGTGCACGTGACGGACGTTGTAAGCACAAGCAGGTCTAGCCTCTAATCCAAGTTATGGTAAAACGTCTAAGGGTTAACTATGAAATATATAAATATGTGACCTGTAGGATACTCAGGGGAATGGTCATGTGACCTGTAGGATACTCAAGGGAATGGTCATGTGACCTGTAGGATACTCAAGGGAATGGTCATGTGACCTGTATGATGCTCAGGGGAATGGTCATGTGACCTGTATGATGCTCA